CGACTATGTGGGAGTCCAGCGACATAGCCATTACGCTAACTGCTGGTTCCCAATGCCTTAATTATTCTGTTTTTATAATAAGTCAGAATATCTGGTAGGGTATATCCAATGATTTGGGCATCAATTTTATGCTACCTTCATTAAATAATTGAAGAATTCTCCCCCTTTCTCTCTTTTGAAAAAGCTTGGGAGGGCTGATAAGGTGGCATGGTGGCTAAAGACGCTGGACTCCCACATGGCTGACCACGATTTGAGTCCCAGACATAACGGCTTGCTTTCTCACTTTCCCTCTCTCTCACTCTGTCCTTCTCTGATCAAATTAAAATAAATTAATTAATAAAGTTAAATAAAAATAATTATTTAAAAAAATAAGCCTGGGAAAGATTCAAATTATTTGAAACTTGGATATTTGGCAGTTCATCAGACTAGCATTTTCTTTATAAGCAGATATTTAACTATTGACTTAATTTGTGTTCGTGGCTACAGTACTAGTCAGTCTTTCTATTTCTTCATGAGTCAGCTTTGTTAGTTACATTTTCTAGAAATGTTTCCATTTTGCCAAAGTTTGCAGAAGTATAACCATAAAGTTGTCCATAATACCCTCTTACCATAATTTTTCATCTCTGTAATAACTACGTTATCTTTTTTTTCCATTCCAAATGTCATTTATGTTGCTCATTCTCTTTTCTTGATCAGTATTGTCACTGAGTATTTCATTAATTTCTGTTCTTATTTTTGTTCTTTCTTTCCTTCCTTTTTTTTTCTTCAGTTCTTTTCTAACTTTTTAAGTTGAATGCTTAGCTCATTGATTTCAGCCTTTCTTCTTTTCTAATATGAATATCTAGGGTTACGGCTTCCAGTTAAGTACCACTCTACTGCATCCTACAAGTTTAGATATTTAATATTTGTCATTTTGTTTATAAATATTTTCTAATTTCCAGTAAAGTTTCTTCTTTAACCTATGAGTTATTGAAAAGTACGACTGTTAAATTTTTTAGATGAATGGGAGTTTTTAGGTCATCTTGTTAACATCACTTTTCAACATAGTTGCGCTGGGATTAAACAAGGTAACCTAGGTAAAATAAGACCTTCAGATTCTTTGAAAATTAACCTATGGTCTAGTATCTGATCAATATTTATAAATATTCTGGTTTTTTTTAAAGAATTACTTTATTTAACTTTATTTATTCATTCGTTTATTTCATTTTTTTAAATTTGACCAGAGAGGGACAGAGCAAGAAAGAAGAAAGAGAGGGAAATTGAGAGAACAAGCCTCCAGGTCCAGGACTTGAACCGTGGTCGGCCATGTGGGAGTCCAGCGTCACCCACCACACCACCTGCCGGCCCCAATATTCTGTATTTTTTTAAAGAGAGGTTTTTTTTGTTTGTTTGTTTGTTTTCCTACAGGGCACGTGCACTCGCCAGAGAGACAGAGAGAGACAGAAAGACAGAAAATGAGAAATCACCCCCCAGAGGCGATGGCCATGCTACAATCTCTTCTTCTCTGTTCTTCTCTTGGAAATTTGGGCACACACGCATACATGCCCAGTGTGAGTTTTAAGCTGCCAGCTCCAGAACTCAAATCATGGTCAACTACATGGGAGCCCAGCGATATAGCCATTATGCCATCTGCTGGACCCTTCTGTATGTTTTTTTTTATTATTATTATTTAAATAATGTGGATTTCCTGGGCCAGAGGTGATGTGGTAGTTAAGGCACTGAACTCCTACATGGCTGACCATGGTTTGAGTTTGGGACCTGGCAGCTTGAAACTCACTCTAGGTGTGTGTGCCCAAAATCCTGAGAAGAGAATGGAGGAGGAGGAGGGACTGCAGCATGGCCATCCTTTCTGGGGGGTGATTTCTTACTTTCTCTCTTTCTCTCTCTCTATCTCTGGTGAGCACACATGTCCTATGGAAAAAAAATTAAAACAAAACAAAAATAATCTGTAGCTAACAAGAGGCATATACCAGAGGACAGGAGGACAAAAAGCCTAGCTTTTAGATGACAAAAAAGAATCTTCTAGAAGTTTCTCAGCTAAATCTGTGAAGTGATTCTCAATTCTGCTTTATATGAAAGTACTCTTCAAATATCCACTCTGAAGATTCCTCATTCTCTAATCCAGAACAAGACAATAGCAAAATGCTACTGGAATTCTTTTAACTGATACATAGTGATTGTACATATCTACAGGGTACAGTGTGGGTTTTTGTAATATATGAATATAATATGTAATGATCAAATTAAAGTAATTGGCATATCTATCATCTCAAACATTTGCTGCCATAATATTGATCTAACACAGCTATAGTAGCATAAATGAACTGACAATAAAATATTTCCCTTTTGATGAAATCATACACTTTCTTCTGAACTTGTACACGAAATCGCATAGATTCTCAACAAAAGGTAGCTGCTCATAAGATCATTTGATTAGGAATGACTTGAAAGAACACCATCTGAATTTAGTTTTACTCTATAAACGTTATAGTAAATGGCCTGAAAGATAACTTTCAGGGAACCAGCAGTTAGCGTAATGGCTATGTCGCTGGACTCCCACGTAGTCGACCGCAGTTCGCGTCCCAGACCTGGTAGCTTAAAACTCACGCCGGGCACGTGTGCATGCGTGCCCAAGATCCCGAGAGGAGAATGGAGGAGAAGGGATTGCGGCGTGACCATCCCCCCTAGGGGGTGATTTCTCGCTTTCTGTCTCTCTGTCTCTCTCTGTCTGTCTGGCGAGTGCACGTGCCCTATAGCGAAAAAACCTCTCCAAAAAAAATAAATAAATAACTTTCAATGCAGGATACTTAAGTTGGAAACCTTTATCTTAAATGTCATGTGGATCATTAGCAACTTTTCCTCATCTTTTCCAGGTCCCCAAGGCTAATACTCTTCAGATTCCTACATCAGGACTCTTTATTTACAAAAAGCACAGAAGAGAAAAGGGATAATGCAGTCTGACATACCTTCCTGGCAAGCAGCGTGGCCATTTGAGACACGGCCGCGTGGCCAAGGAGAAGCCACACCAGCCACTGCTTTCCCCATTCCATCCAGAAGCTCCATTCAAAGTCAGTTGGGTCCTAAATAAACCAAAACAGAAGAATATTAGAGGGAGTTTAGTACTTGTGTGAGTCAAATACAGACTCCACTTAGTAAAACCACCAACAAGAAGGACAATGTTAGTCCAAACTCTGTGAAACAGTATCTCTGCACTCCGAGTCGTTCCGCCATCTACCCTGTACTCTCTCCCCTAGCTTCTCTCGCTCTGTCCATCTCTGGTCAAATTAAAATAAATAAATAAATAAAGTTAAATAAAAATAATTCTAAAAAAAAAGTTCAGTTCATCTACCCAAGATTATATACATACTAAAAGTAACAAATTAAGACTATCTCCCTGCTTAGGCACCTAGATGCTTACACTAACAATAGAAGTTGAACACCAATAAAATTACTTAAGGTCAGTCTTAGTGTTAAATCTTGTTGTTGCTTATGACCAGTAGAGCAATTTGATAGAGAAACTAACTAATTTTATATACACTTACAATGAAAACGCCAGTAGAGCAAAGTGACAGAGAAATTAACTAATTTTATATACACTTACAATGAAAACGTAAATGGTATGCTTCCCTTCCCCTTAGGATGCTGTGTGTCCACACAGCACTCTGTCTACATCTATACTAGGCTCCATGTCTAAAGCAGCTCCCTCGCAAGGCCAGGCAGAAACCTCTGACAGGAGCAGACATGTAGATACCTGGAGACCAGCAACTAAACACTGTGACCTCATGAGCACCAGGGAAGATCATGGCGCCCATGTTGAGCTTGGAGTAAACACAGAGATTGGCCACCCTCCAATGGGCACGGTAGGCATGGTCAATAAGCTTCTCTACTTCCCCATGATGAAGTGAGGATGTGAAACCCAAAACTTTCTACCAAATTGTGTGGGTAGAGAAGGAATCCTGCAGTGACTGCTGACACTGAGCGCCTACTCGTCTCTGCAAGTGGAAGTTGGAGTCCTACTTATTTACATAGGAGGGAAACATGATTTGGGGGTTTTGCACCTGAGACTTGAGGGGCAATTTCATACCAGTTACACATATTACAAAGCTTTTGTTTTTTCCCCAAAGGTAAAATATCAGTGAAATTGATCTTGGTCCAATAACTACAAAGTCAGTCCAGTGCCACACACAAGATCAGTACTCAATAAAGGGCAGGACTCGAACAAGCTCGGGGTGAAGTGTTCCCATTGCTCACCCTTCTGCTGGACCTCACTGGACTCCATTCTCTGTCATCCACACTTTAATTCTGGAACTTTTATTATAGCATCTTTACTATAATTAACTTACGTGTTTCCTCTCTAGGCAGAAAATTGTGAGTTCTCTGAGAACAAGAAGTTTTATTTAATCTAAGAGGTATCACAGATGCTGACATTCCGTAGATTTGTGTGGTGGTGAATGGGGAGAGAGCAGAGAAATCAGGCGGTCTACATTCTCTGCACATTCCTGCCCCTGTTTAAACCTGGAGAAGTCACGTAGCCATCTGGACCTGAGTCTCCCAGCTCATAAAATAAACAGCTGACCTAGTACAATTTCTAAGATTCCTTTCAGAGGATGAAAAAGAAAGAAAGGGGGGAAAAAGCAAGCAGTTATTTTCCAGGCTCACGGAAAGAAATACTAAGAGCTTCTTTCCAACAGAGTCTATAAATATATTCAGGGTTGTAGCCCCAAATAAATAAGCCAGCACACCAGACAGTAAAAGTTTGATGAAAAAGTTGAATGATTAAACAATAGGTCAAATCGTTTTCAAGCACAGTCTACTGGGAAAGTGAAAGAAACGACACAAAAACTGAAGAACCTTGTATCTGCTCTCATAAACACCCGCCTTCGTAAACTCAGGTAGAGAACACAGCTCACAGAATATTGCGAGTGGATGATTTGTCCTGCACGTGATCTTCGCCAACGCTAGGCCTGCTCTCTGATGTACCAATTACTCCAGAGACATAGACAGAAATAGAGCCCTGGTATAAAGGACAATATATCTCATGATGTACCTGCAAGAAGCAAGTAAGTTAGAATATGAAAACTTCTTGGAATAGTGCCTGGCATTCATAAAGTAGTATGCATTTGTTACGCAAATATAAAAACAAACCAACAACAAACTCTATTTTACTCTGATAGCCCCAGAGACTCAAATCTAGGAGTTTCAAGCTGTACCATCTGAAAAAAAATACAGGCACCTGTTGAGTTGTTCACGATTTCAACCCTACTCAAAAGGAAAGAAGAAAGAATCTAGAGACTGTGGTTTGAAAAGAATCGAATCCACAGTAAACAAAGGGGAACGCCGGCATTCAGAAAATCTGCCACATCTAAAATGCCATGGGGTTTCACCTCCTCAAAAGAAAATACCTGCTCAGCATGGCAGACACGGCCAACTGGCTCAGTCGACACTATTCCCAAACCCTTCCAGCATGAGTTCCTATACCTAGGAGGTTAGAAGGTCGGAAACAACATAGTCCAGAATTTCTTTAGCTGGCACGTCTGCAAATGGCTTGGCTGCCGATGCGCAGACACGCGAGGCTTTGAAGATGAAGGAACAGAACGTGTGGGCCGTGCGACTCTCCAGCGGCAGCAGCCCTTTGGTTGTCCTCCAGCAGCAACTGGAGACTCCAGGGCCGGTCAGTGCAGAGCTGCCTCAACTCCCTGATTGGCAGGAAGGCAGCTTCTGCTAGTGCACCCCTGCACGGGGTTCTCAAGCCAGGAGCTGTGCACCTGCTGTAGTTTTGTGGGTTTTGTTTGTGTTTTTGTTTTTAGCTTTTGCTATAGGGTGCTTGTGCTCACTGGAGAGAGACAGAAAGAGAGAGAGGGAAAGTGAAAAATCACCCCCTGGGGGATGGCTATGCTGCAAATTCTTCTCTCTCACTCTGCTCTCAGGATTTGGGGCACACACACAAACCTGTCATGACTTCCAAGTCACCACGGATGGAACTCGAGCCATGGAGTCGGCCATGTGGGATCCAGCTGCCTCAACCTCCACATCACCTGCTGATCCCCACCTCCTCCGATGGCTATGATGAATGGCTCTGGGAATTGTCCCTGGATGCCCACCAAGTCTACACTGACTGCTCTTTCAATTACTCTGAAATGTCCTTAAATTCCTTCGATAATTCCCTTTCTCTTAAAATAACTGGCATGAACTCTGTTGTTTGCAACAGAGTCTTGATTAACAAACTATAGAAGAAATGTGTCTTCTCGCTAGAATCTATTGAGTTGCCGGGAAAATCATGACACAATTTTGCATAGAAAAAATATGTCATAACTTTTCTAATAACTCCATGGCTCTCTCTAGCTTTATATTAAAAGCACGATGAAAATAACTCACTTTGAATAACATTATTCTGAAATGACTGTATTCAATGGAGAAACATACCAGCAAGGTCAACCCAATAAGTGTTCCAGAACAGGTTAATAAAAGCAATGAGCGTTTGTGTTAGAAAACACTCACAAAGACATCTCCTACACAAAGACATCTCCTACACAAAGACAGCATCTCCTAGTGTCCTTCTTTTCTTTCTTTTTTTTTTTTTAAGAATTATTTAGGGACCAGCAGGTGGCATGGTGGTTAAGGACACTATACTTCCACATGGCTGACTGTGGTTCAAGTCCTGGACCTGGCAGCTTGCTTTCTCACTTTCTCTCTCTCTCATCAAATTAAAATAAATAAATAAAATTAAATTAAATAATTCTTTTTTAAAAAATGAATTATTTATGTATTGGGGCCTGCAGGTGGCGTAGTGGTTAAATATGCTGGATTCCCACATAGCCGACCATGGTTCGAGTCCCAGACCTGGTGGCTTGCTTTCTCACTTTCTCTCCTCTCTCTCTCTCTCTCTCTCTCTCTCTCTGTCCCTCTCTAGTCAAATTGAAACAAACAAAATGAATAAATAAAGTTAAATAAAATAATTTGTTTTTAAGAATTTATTTATTTAATTCCATTTGTCATTATTATTATTATTTTTTTAATTTGACCAGATAGAGACAGAGAAAAGGAAAGGGAAAGCAAGCTACCAGGTCCAGGTCTCAGACCACAGTCAGCCATGTAGGAATCCAGCATGTTTAACCACCACACCACCTGCTGGTCCTCTCCTACTGTATTTCAAAACCAAATAGAGGCCCAGTCACAGAGGCACAAGCAATAGGGTGCCACTGTGTGGGGCTGGGGCCACATGGGAGACCTGGGTTCAGTTCTTGGACCAACCTGAACAGGTTGGGCATCATAGCACACACCTGTAATCCTGGCTAACTGGGAAGCTAGGGCAGGAGATCACAGTGGCCAAGACCCTATCAAAAGTACCTGTCTATCTCTCTGTCTCTCTCCTCCTCCTCCTGCATATTCTTTCTCCCTCTGTCTGTCTCATTTTATATATATGACCTACCTTACCAACTACTCTGGCTTTTTTTCATCATACTTCTTTTCCCCTCAGAGAAAACAGCAGAGAGCTGAATATATTTTCTATTTTCCTTACCCTCATATCCACCGTACTGCAAAAACTTAGTACAAAGAAATACTTGACATTTTTGTGTGTCTATTTCCTGAATAGCATTATTTCCTTACTATTTACTTTGAGACCATATTTATATATATTTCTTAATTACACTGCATAAAAGTTATCTATGATCAGAGAAAGGCTTTATAAGGTTCTTGAAATCATAAATGTTTCCCTGCACGTTCAAAGGCACCTAGCTCACCTTAATGGCCTATAAATCTCCAGACAAAAAACACCAACAACGACTCGTTTTGTCAGAATCTGCACAGAAGAGGCGCTGCTCTCTGGATGAACTCGGGCTAATGATTCACTGAGCAATTATTGGAAGAGTTTTCTTCTTCTTTCAACAGCTGCTTTGCTATTTCTAAAATAATTTGAACTAAATCATTTCTCTGCTCACGATTTCCAGAGACTATACTCTCACGACTCACACTTTCTTAAAGATAAAATGCTTTCACTAATAATTTTTCTTCCTGTAAGTAACAAAGTCTCCGCTGAAACACCTCAATCATCCTGCAGAGGTGAAGGAGATGCTTACAA